GAAGTCTTGATGGCTTGAAGTACAGCTTCAAGGCGCCGAAGATGCTCGTCGAAACTCGAGGAAAACACGACGACGTCGTCCAAGTACACAAGGCAAGTCTGCCACTTCAATCCTGCCAGTACTGTATCCATAACGCGTTGAAAAGTTGCAGGCGCTGAGCAAAGGCCGAAGGGCATCACCTTAAACTCGAAGAGGCCGTCCGGTGTTATAAACGCCGTCTTCTCTCGGTCTCTTTCGTCGACTTCGATTTGCCAATAGCCAGTCTTGAGGTCCATTGATGAAAAGTACTTGGCGTTATGGAGCCGATCAAGTGCGTCATCTATTCGTGGGAGAGGATACACGTCCTTTCTTGTGATTTTGTTCAGGCGGCGATAATCGACGCAGAAACGTAGGGTCCCATCCTTTTTCTTCACTAACACCACGGGGGATGCCCATGGACTGTTGGACGGCTGGATAATGTCATCCCGCAGCATTTCATCAATTTGTCTCTTCATGGCCTCACGTTCTCGCGTTGAAACCCTGTATGGACTCTGACGGAGTGGTCTGGCATTTTCTTCGGTTATGATGCGATGTTTCGTGATTGGGGTCTGCCGAATTTTCGATGACGACGAAAAGCAATCTTCGTATTGCAGGAGCAGGGCCTTCAGCTGTTCTTGCTTATTGTTCGGAAGTCTGGGATTGACGTCGAAAGCTATGGGAGGGGCTTGGTTCCTCTGAGCAGGTTCCGCAGAATCGGCGAGGGCGAAAGCACTGGTGGCTTCGACAATTTCTTCCATGTATGCGACCGTTGTTCCTTTGTTCACATGTTTGTACTCATTGCTGAAATTCGTGAGCATAACCGTTGCTTTGCCTCCCCGCAGCTCTGCAATTCCTCTTGCGACGCAAATATTTCGGGTGACCAACAGATGCTGACTGCCTTCAACGACGCCTTCCAAGTCAGTTGATTTAGGAGCGCCGACTGAAATAATGACGCTTGAGCGAGGCGGAATGCTGACTTGTTCTTCCAACACATTCAAGGCATGGTGTCCAGACGGCGTGTGCGGCGGTAGTGCTTCTTCTGTGGATAACGTTATCGACTTTGTTTTTAGGTTGATGACAGCACCATGGAGGCATAAGAAGTCCATGCCAAGGATGACATCTCTCGAGCAACGCTGTAGGACTACGAAGTCTGTAGGATAAATACGGCCGTTAATGGTGACTCTCGCTGTGCAGATTCCTGCAGGCGTTTCGAGATGACCTCCGGCTGTGCGGATTTCAGGGCCTTTCCAAGCTGTCCTAACTTTCTTTAACTTCACGGCGAACGACCCACTGATGACAGAATAGTCGGCTCCAGTATCGACGATAGCGGTCACACTGTGGCCGTCGATAAGAACGTCGAGGTCGCTAGTTCGCCGTCTCGCATTACTGTTAGGGCGTGGCGTTGGGTCACGGCTGCGTCGGCTTGTTCCGCTGCTTCCCTGTTGCGTCGTCAGGCCGCCTTCGGTAAGTGAGCTTTCGCCGTCAGAGCTTTGCCTGTTTGGCGTTGTGTTCGGAAAGCTCCGTCGCGGCGTCGTCGTCGTCGGAGGATCTTCGGTAGTTCGTCGCACAGCAACCGCACCTCCACCGGTTGCTGCCCTTAGTTTCCCGGATACGGGCTAGGAGACCGGCCCCGCGTAGGGCCAGAGTACTGCCGGTGGTGCGGTGACGTGCGGCGGCTGGGTGACGGCGAACGCGAAGGGCTTCGTGGTGTCCACCAAGTTCCGGTCAGGTAGTCGGCGATGTCACGTGGCCGATCTCCTGGCTGCGGACGCGGTGCGTTGACGGCGAAGCCACGCAGTCCCATCTGTCGGTACTGGCAACGGCGGTATGTGTGCCCGGCCTCGCCGCAGTGGTAGCAGAGCGGGCGGTTGTCAGGTGCACGCCAAACGTCCGTTTTTCTCGGTGCACTGCGTTGGCCCGCTGGGGAACGGTAGGACGTCGGTTGGGGTGGTGGCGGCGGTGGCGTCTGGCGACGGAAGTGTGACGGGGCGGCGTTTTGGCGTGGACGGGGAGGAGCGTTGTGGCGCACTGCAGCGGCGTAGCTCATAGTTTCTGGCTCGGGCGGCGGTGTTTCGGGAATTCGAAGCGATTGCCGGACTTCTTCTCGCACAATGTCGGCGATCGAATCCACTTGAGGCTGCGCCGAAGGCAACAGTTTGCGCAGCTCTTTCCGCACGATCGCTCGGATCGTTTCACGCAGGTCGTCGGAGTCACTGGCTTGAGCAGCAGCGCATTCTGGAGTCAGGCGACGATTATACTGTCTGGTGCGCATGTCCAGCGTTTTTTCGATGGTGGTCGCCTCGGATACAAATTCTTGGACGGTGTTTGGTGGATTCCTCATTAGTCCCGCGAAGAGCTCCTGTTTGACCCCTCGCATGAGGAAACGAACTTTCTTTTCCTCAGGCATGTCTGGGTCAGCGTGACGGAATAGGCGGGTCATCTCCTCTGTGAAAATTCCAACCTTTTCGTTTGGTAGCTGAACCCGGGTCTCGAGTAAAGCAGCGGCCCTCTCTTTGCGAGCGACGCTTGCGAACGTTTGAAGAAATGCGCCGCAGAAGACATCCCACGTTCGGAGCGTGGACTCCCGATTCTCTAGCCAGGTCCTTGCGGTGTCTTCCAGGTAGAAGTACACACGACGGAGCTTTTCTTCATTGTCCCAGTGGTTGAGGGCGGCCACACGGTCGTATGTTTCTAGCCAGGTTTCCGGGTCTTCAAACGATGAGCCATGGAACGTTGGTGGTTCCCTGGGTTGATGAATGACGATCGCGGGCTGGGACGCTCCGGTTGTCATTGTCGCTGCAGTCGAGGTCATGGGCTTGGTCTTCCGCGCCTTGTCTTGTAGCAGGCCGTACTCCGGTGGGAGACCTTGCTGTCGGCGGCTCGTTCGCTGCTCTTGGTTGGCGTCGGTGTCTTCTCCGCGAAGGGGGCTGTGTTCACGGCTTGACGGGGGCGTCCGGTACATGAACGAAGCAGCACCTCCACCAGATGTCACGGGGTCGTGACGTGGCCAAAGACAGAAAACTTCGTGTCGGGATTTAACTGTTTATTTGGGCGAACCTGGGCCCGGTAAAGGGAAAGTCTAATTACAGCAGCAGTCTTGCACAGATAGCAGTCTCGGACTGATAGCGGCGAACGCAGCGTCGGCCTTCGATCAACAACTGACAAGCGGCGAAGCGCGTCGGCATTTATACTCTTGCCGTCGAATGTTCTAGCGTTATCGCTGGCGGTGGCGTAGCTTCCAGAACAATCTGTACCGTTCGCACAGTGGGCGTGATCTTATCGAAATGATCTACTACAGTCCGGAACCTTCTGGAAAACTGCAGGCGCGGTTTGCGCTGAGAATCGTGTGTTTTGGGACGATAACAAAAACTTGGGAAATGGAACGTGGCAATATTAATCTGCAGAAAACGAAAGTAATGTACAACAACCTCGGAAAAGAGCAGCGCTTCGAGATAGGTAATAGTGCACTTCAAGTTGTGAAAGACTATGTCTACTTAGGGCAGGTAGTAACCGCAGAGCTGAACCACGAGGCTGAAGTAACTAGAAGAATAAGAATGGGGTGGAGCACATTTGGCAAGCACTCTCAAATTATGACAGGTAGATTGCCACTATCCCTCAAGAGGAAGGAATATAACAGCTGTATCTTGCTGGTACTTAGCTACGGAGCAGAAACCTGGAGACTTACAAAGAGGGTTCAGATTAAATTGGGGACGACGCAGCGAGCAATGGAAAGAAAAATGGTAGGTGTGACCTTAAGAGACAAGAAGAGAGCAGAGTGGATTAGGGAACAAACGGGGGTTAAGGATATCGTAGTTGAAATCAAGAAAAAAAGTGGACATCGGCCGGGCATGTAGCGCGTAGACAGGATAACCACTGGTCTTTAAGGGTAACTAACTGGATTCCTAGAGAAGGCAAGCGGGTCAGAGAGAGACAAATTGGGTGGGCAGATGAGATTAAGATGTTTGCGGGTATAAATTGGCAGTAGCAAGCACAGGACCGAGTTAACTGGCGGAACATGGGAGAGGCCTTTGTTCTGCAGTAGACTTAGGCTAATGATGATGATTATTATTATGTCAGCACCAAGGAAGCCTTCGTGAAAAAGGTTCTTTAACAAAGGTTCCTTGGGCACCGCCATAATGCCCTCTGTGCTGCAATTAACATATATATGCATGACCCTTCCAAATAATAATATGCACTGCCGAGGCAGGATCCTCAGTGTGTGACAGCAGTTGTACTTTCATGCCACAGACCATACAAGAGATCCTTCTCCTTTCCTTTAAAAAGGTCTATGACAAAAGACGGGACTAACGAACTATGGAAGTGTATATATATATATATATATATATATATATATATATATATATATATATATATATATATATAGAGAGAGAGAGAGAGAGAGAGAGAGAGAGAGAGAGAGAGAGAGAATGTTAATAATACAGATCTGTTTTTGATAGGGCGAGAAAAGAAGGGGGAAGGGTCACAGTAGCTGCCAGTAAAGACGCATGCCCCCCCCCCCCCCAAACCCGGTTGATGAGCCCCTTGTGGCTAAGGCGCTTTTCCGCAAGACCGAAGAAACTTCTTCTTTCTGGACTGTATCGCAGAAGCAGAAAAGCTGACGTACGTCATTGCCTCGGCAGTGCTCTCCCTTAGGAGGTAATGCTTATTCACCACGGCCCATAAGATATTATGGTGGCGCCCTGGAAGACTTCTGGTGTGCTTTAGCGCTCACAACAACAGCGCTGTGTTGTCCTGAATGTGCCTTCTCTTGTCCATGTCCTCTGTCTGCGCTACCATATATTATCATAATATCACAACATTCTCCCTACTTCACCACAGAAACGAGTCCGCGGCGGAACCGGCAGCACGTTTGCTACGCCGTCGAGACGCTCTCGCAGCACAGCGAAATCGCACTGCATCCGTCTCACTCCACTCACGACAAGGTCGCCGAAAGAATCACTGCAGCGAGCCGCTTAGGGTTCATGGTTGGCTCAGTTGCCGTTCATTCCGTCCTCGAAGGCATTTCACTCGGGCTGCAGGTACTAAAAGAAACTATTTAAAAATTCATAATCTTACAAGGCATTTACGGAGTAACCACGCTGATACGATTCGAATCCTACAGTTTCTTTGTTTAGGGGGAACGCGCACCAGGACTACTTGCAGTCTTCCATATTACCCTGTTTGTATATTGTCTGAGCGAGTTACTCGAAAACCCAGACAAAAATGTAAATAAAAATGCATATAAAAGGAAAGTATAGCATCAAGCTAAGGGTTGAAGATGATTAAGTGGTCACATTACACTATGCAATAGTAAGTTCAAAATTCAGATATATGATTAGTAGACGTAATCCACCAGATGGGGCTTGTTGGGACACCTTGGGGCAGATTAAGTATCAAACACGCGCTTCTTTGCACCTAGTATGTCGAACACGTATATAAACCTGTGATGCTGATAAGTAGATCTGCTTTGTAAAAAATGGCGAGGGAACGCCAATCATTTTCTTGCAGGTTTCAAGAACAAAATTAAAATTAATCTGAGGCACAATATAATCAGCTATAATTAGTCATAATCAGCTATAATTATTTTGAATGAATGTGCAGCTCAGCACAATTTTGTTATAGCATATTAAGTATGCTACAACACTTTTTCATGAAGCATTGGCAAGTTTATTATTTTTGAGGCATTATATTCAATGCGGCGCATTCAGCATGGTATGGCCGATGGCATTATATTCAATGCACCATTTTGCTCATTATACTACCTTTAGAGTGTTCAGCCTCGCACGAACTAAACACTTCTTTTTTGTTGTTTTAAGATGATACGTTAGACTCGCTGGTTTCCACTGGTAGTATCAACTAGATTACACTGTATTGAGCCCTACAATGCACAACAATTTATGGTATGCCAAGTTGAGTACTTTAAAGTTTGAGAAACCCAAAGTGCTAGCTTGTAGTAAAGGTTTCGATGTGATAAATAGCAAAGTACACACTTTAGACAGCTGAGAAAACAGACTTACTGTATTATAAAATGCACGTTGTTTGCTACCACGTGAAAATTCATAACCGGGAATCCAACTGGTTTCAACTGGTACTCCTGGAATCACCGCTTCCTAGTTGGGAATTAAGTCATCCCAGTTGATTCCCGTTTCAACTGGTACCAACTGCTAGCAGAACAGTTGCAACTGGAATCAACTGGTTCCCTTTAGCAGCTGGTACCAGTTACAATTCAACTGGTTCCAGCTCTGGTACGAGTTACAATCCAACTGGTTCCAGTTAACAGCTGGCACCAGGCACAATTCAACTGGTTCCAGTTAACGGCTGCTCATATAACGGGCACGGCTGTGATACAGTCCACTATCGCTGAACTGATTGGTGCAGGTAAACGGCGTCACGCTGGAGTGGCTGGTGCTCGGCCTGTACATGCACAAGACGCTGACGACAGCTGCCGTGGCCCTCGACGCGGCTGCCATGAACCACGGCTCCCTCGTGCCTGCCAGCGCCGGCCTTGTGATTGCCAGCTCCGTGCCTGCTGGACAGGTATACACGCCGAGCTTTGCCTATAGAGCGACCACCAGTTTGCACATATAAGCATGTAGCTTAGCTTGCTACGCGACCTTCGGCAACGAATTGTTATAACCAAGCTTGATTGCGCAAGACAGAACACGGATACTCAGTGCCACGAATTGTCAGACTGTGTATTAACAGCGGTGATGTTTCAACATAAAACGAGAATCACATTGCTGCATTTTTATTGGCAAAAGAAAGAGAGACGGAGAGAAAGAGAAAAGAGAAATAAAGACTAGAAGGATACACAAGGAAAGAGACAGAAACAAACAGAAAGACGGATAAAAGATACCAGCATTGTATAATGGAGGAAAAGGAAATGCAGGATGAAGGGGTAAGCAGGGGAGTAGAGGGTAAAGTATAGATTAGTCGTGCAAGTAGTATGGTATAGTACCATTCCAAAGCACAGGACCGGTCGATTGGCAGAAAGTGGGAAAGGCTTTTGCCCTGCACATGGTGTAGTTGGGCTGCTGGTGCTAATGATGATGATGACCCTACTGTACGACTGCAATGCTTCACTCTCCCTCCCCCCTCACCTACACTTCACTTTGCCATTCCTTTGCTACACTACACTGCCATGCGGGTTCGTAAACTTTATTTTGAGGGGTTCAGTTGGATTTGAGTTAGAAAAACTGTTAGCAATGCTCGGCGCAGACGAAGCCGCGAAGCTTGGGAAGCTTCGAGATTGTTGCGATCATTCTGTTAAGATCACGCACCGGGCGCGAACAGTCAAGTTCTTTTTTGGAGTGAGAGACAAAACGAATTTATCGACAGCCCCGACCTCTAGAATGATCTGCACTTAAAAAAAAAGAAGTCCGCCTCTGCGGATCAGTGGCTAGGATGGTCGGCTGCTCACCCGAAGGTCGCGGGTTTAATCCCGGCTGTGGCGGTCCCATTTCGATGAAGGCATGATGCTGGAGACCCGTGCACACTGAGCGAAGTTAAAGCTTGTTAAAAAGCACCACATCGTCGAAATTGCAGGAGCCCTCAAGTACGGCGTCCCACATTGTCGCATGGTGGGTTTAGGAGGTTAAAGGACACGTTATTGTTAAAGAAGGATTATTGGAAACCCACGTCTTTTTTTTTTCCCCCTGCAGATGGCTGGGTTATTGGTTGGCCGGCCGATCGAGAATCTGACCAAGGCCATTGTTGAAGCATTGACCGCAGGCACTTTCTTTTACGTCACCTTATTGGAAGTCCTGCCGCCCGAGCTGAACCGCCAGCAGGATCGCATCTTCAAGGTCACCTTCATGATTGTTGGCTTTGCGCTCGTTGCCACAGCTAACATCACCTCGAACCACGTGGCCCTTACCTACTCCTGAAGATATGAAAGCAGCGCATCCAATGCAATCAATGTTTTGTTCCAAGCATGTGTACGTGTCTCGTCTGTTGTGAACTATCGACAACTACGGCAACGTATACGTATAACATATTAATTTTACGGCGCGACGGCGACCAAGACACACCGGCTGAAAGCTACCATTATTCTCATACCCTCAAGCAGGCCCAGTGGCCCATGCATTCCAAGCACGAGATGAAAAACAGTTTCCGCGACTATTTCAACTTTTATGAACTATTGCGCAACAAAACGTTATCACTTCTCGTATACATGGCTTCTTGCGTTCGAAACAATGGGTGGTTCTTGGTCAAATCATTCCAATATGTTGCTATAGCATTCATTGCTTCGCCCTTATGGCAAAACTGTGACTTTTGCTATTAACTGCATTCAATAAAGTGTAGTAAAACTACACTTTATTTAATGCAGTGGTTTCACCAGCACCAAATTGGATTTATGGCACTGTTCTGACAAAATCGACGTAATATTGCACCACACAGCACCGGAATCTCAAGTTTGCCGGTGTCTTAAATAGGCTGTTGCACCATCTGCGCATGAAAATGTGTAGCTTGATCTTGGGGCCAAAGTCCCAACCACAAACCAAGTAGTATTTCACAGATGAAACAACGTTTGCTTACCGACCTATTCCCTGTTTGTAAACGGCAAAAGGCGCCGTGTACATACTGCGACACTTGTCGCGACGTCGCAACTAAGGCTCCGTAGTGATGTTCTGCGCAGAGAATTTTCCCTTTTTCGGGAAATTATTGCCTGTCATTTTCAGCCACAGGGGAAAAGGAAATTGTGATATTGCAGGAAATTTCAGGAATGGCTAAATTCTCCTATGACGACTAATAAGTAGCGGTCACAGTGCACCTTCATCTGTTTATCGGTTCTGGCACATGCACCACGTAAGAATAGCCCTTGAGATTTGTTTCTGATATGTATGCGGAGCGATTTCTAGTTCACTATTGGTGTTAGACTTGAAGCCCACAATGCGCAGTGTACTAACAGTATATGAATTAATAATAAAGTCATGCTTTTGTTGTGCGGCAATGGAGGGACTAGTCATGACAAAAGTCATCAGTACATCCTACACATGTAATTATAGTATGCGTGTGCGTGGATAGGGGTGGAAATTAGTACTGTTGTGCAGGAAAGTATGCTGAAAATTTTGTCAGCGTTTACAGAGAAAAATCGCGAAAATAGGAAATTTTCATGTCTCTGAATGAGAATCCTTCGCCGTAGTACGGAACATCACAGGTTTCGCCCAGCCTGAAGCTTGCCACCGCTCTACATGATCACGTGACAACTGGCAAAGCAGCCACAAAGCTGCATCCAAGCACAGAGCATAGAGGAGCTGTGCAAACGCGGAAGGCTCTTTGACGTGCTGTGCTTGGAATACTCAAATGCCGTGCAGAGGGCCCGGGTTCAAATCTAATTCGATTTCAGTTTTATTTTTCCATGTCTATTGGTTAAGCCACCGGTAGTGACGGCAACCGCCATGCCACTCAGTACAAGAACCGGCAGCCTGAGATTTGCGCTCTTAAAATAATAAATAGACCTTATGATCCAACTCTGAAGCCACCTTGACCAACTCATTAAGATTCTCTCACAAATATGACCTGTTTATTAAAACTGCATAAGCAGTTGCCCGACAATGGTGTTTAAAAAACTAAACATCAGAAACTCCTGGTTTCCAATTAATGTTTTATTTAATGATCTTTTAAAAAGTGATTGTGTAAGAATGATCAGTGCTGATATTGAAGCACACTCCAGCGTGTTAAATGTGAGGGGTTCTAATAGCGCCACGAATATGGCGAGGTTTTCTTTTTTTTTTTTTTTTTGTCTTTTTGCGTCCCGTCGGTCGGAGACCTAAATGTGAAATGTGGGTCAACGTAACATGTAAACGTTCGGGTAACCGTCCTATACCATCCCATCTCCTTAGATGAGCTCGTCAAGGAACGTTCGGCAGATTGGGACGTTGAACAAAGCAGCTTCTGTCCAGACTTCTGCCTCGAGTACGTCATTTCATGTCACTTTGGCTTCACCTTGTTGCCATGGTCAACATCACCGTGAACCCCATAGCCCTGAAGAGACAAAATGTATGATTGAAGTGAAGCAAATTAAAGAAGAGCGAGACGATTTTACGCATCTTAGGAAAGTACAGTTTCACAATCCCGAAAACACCACTCTTACCGCGACACAACGCTTGGTAGGAGAGAAGAAAATATGGGTGGAGATGCCGCTTTAAGATTCCCGCACCAAACCCTGCGATGTCATAAATTTTGAAAGTGTATGCTGGGTCCCACGCAGCTTCTTATTGATAAAAATTGAAGTACATTGTCATTTCTTTAAGACATACAAGTTACGGGAACATGAAGTCTTCTGAGTTTTTTCATTTAAAGGCACTGAAGGTACCAAAGCTATGGAGCTCCAGCTGCAAGGAACAAAACTGAAATTAGTAAGTTGTAGAGTTTTGCGTATCAGAACGAAGATACAATTAATGGACATGCCATAATTTGGTGACCCAGGATTATTTATAACCAACTAGGGTTGTATAATGAGCGCATAGGCTTAAGTAGACAAATATGGTGACAACTTGTTGATGATTTGGGATATGCCCTCACAGATCAGTGACAAAAAGTCAAACGAGTTGAGAATTCATGTTCGACTACAATATTGCCATGCTGCATTATTTTAACTATAATAAATCTAGCCCCTATGTATCTGTGTGGCAAGGGAACAAAAGACATGAAATGCCACAAAAAAAGAAAGAGTGCAGGTAACCACAATGATGCAAGTACTGCATTGATGTGCGTTCACAGACTACACAGACCACGGCCACTTTCCCAGCCTTCCCTGCGCCCCAAACCTAACATAGGTGCATCCCGTCTACAATCCACTCTGGTACACTCAAACAATCCACTTCATGGTACACTAAAATATAGATATAACGAAACCAATATAAGAAATATCGGATGTAACGAAGTGAACAAAGAATAGTCTGGCAACAGAGTGTTAGGAATATACTTTTAGAACCAATTTTCGGTTATAACGAACTTATTTTTATGTGGGATTCAACTTTTTTATAATGAGGTTCAAGTGTGTGAAAGAACCAATCATGCCCCACACCCTGCAAGTAGTATATGAGATAGAAAAATGTGCGGCCATGAGCCAGAAAGGTTGCTTGCAGTGTATGCTCCCTATACATAGTAGAGAAAATGGCATAAAGGAAAGGTAGAAGTGCCGAACTGGTTGTGGGAGTTTGGAAAAATGTTTGGCCAGAGGTGAAATCTTCCACATGTTTATAATAGAATGTTCTATTGCACCACACTAGATTGGTCGAGGCTAGTTTGACGATCAGACGCGGGAACAGCAACGGAAAAGGCAATGCTGCCAATCACTTCATTGTATGCTATGCACAGAATGAATCGAGACACTGCTCTGTCCTAAAGGGATCCACTTCTATACTCGTCTGGTGCCGAATGCTTGCTACGATTCCAGTCGCATACAGTTGTATGTGGATGATTAACATCCACTTCCCCTTGCCGGAGCCATTGTAGCTACGACGAGTTCTAGCGAATGAGGCAACTGGTTAGGTCAACAAAACAACACTTTGTTGCTAAGTTAGCAATAATGCATAAGTGTCACGTAGAAGGATTGTTTGCTTAATGAAAATAATTAAAGACCCACTATTTTTGTACAACCTCCAGGTTTCCCTCTTCCCAGCAAGAACTCGTTTCAGCTAGGAGTTATGGGGTACAGTTCTATTATGTCACATGCTGCGATTTGCCAGGGGGTCTGCCTGTTAATCAGCTGCTGCATGCGGCTGGGCGGTTGTCCACCTCAGGGATTGACGCATTGGCACACGTGACATGATCGGGCATAACAAATCACATCCCGCTTCATGTCTTTCCAAGTGGTGAGGCAACACAAGTTGGCATGAATCTTAGGGCCATTTGCATGCCCAGCAATGCACGAGTCATGAAAGTAGCGAAGAAGTGCTCCTCTCAACGTGCGCGGTATTACGACCTCGAATGACTCACTAGTGTCATTGAAAGATGCGATGGGCCTCAGCAGGACGCCATCAGAATCCAGCAGATAAAAATACAGTGCGCTGACAGCACTACCAGCAGTTGCCAAGCGCTCCGCACTGACAGCAATACCAGCTGCCCCCGTGTGTGCAGAGGCCTCGTCGTCACCGGAGCCCGTTAGAACGCCTTTCACCAAAACGGATCTTCCTCCTAAGCTTCTAACAGCTCCCTTCTGCTGAAAACAATCCCTGTGCTAACGACAGCCTCTAAGTGGTTCACGCTTTTGCCTTGAACTAACGTTTGCTCCGCCGTTTCTGTTAGCGCTAGTGTCTAGCTCTCAGTTTGTTTCGGGTTAGTTGCGTGACTTGCCTCGTGCCGAACTGGAGCACCCGATAGTGCGTCAGCCGCGGCATTGTTCTAAGCCTTCTGGTGACGTACAGTGAGGTCTTAATACTGCAGCAGCAATGCCTGACGAGCGAGGCGGCCACTTGGTTTGTTCAAGCGCCTCAACCACGTGAGGGCCTTGTGGTCAGTCTCAATGATAAACTCAACTTTGCCGATGTAGTCAAACTTACAGAGAGCGAGAACTATCGCGAGACACTCCTTTTCTGTTATCGAGTAGTTCCTCTCTGCCAGCATTAACGAACAGCTTGCAAACGCAATTGGTTGGAAAGCACCTCTATGCTCCTGAAGCAGAATCACTCCTAAGCCTAGGTCACTTGGGTCTGTTTGAATCACAAACTACCTGTTCAAATTGGATAGTGCAGTTCAGCCGTGTTAGCCAGCAGCTCCGTAAGGCGACACAGTACGGCCTCCTGCTCTTAGCTCCAAGCCCAATGCTTGCGATTCCTCAAGAGCTTCGTCAAAGACGCCTGCACTGCTTACGCAGTCTGGAACGAATTGGTGATAGAAGTTCAACACCCCCAGAGAGCGCCTCAGCTCACCTCCCCCTTTCCACTCTCCCCAGAGATGGTTGATTCCCCCGCTGAGGAAAAGTAGCCTTTCCAGCAAGCCGGGAAGATGGAGGAGGATGGCGTGCGAGGGGGATGGGGTGAACAGCCCTCGATAGAGGCGTCAGTGTCTCTTTCGAATGACTGGTTTTCCTCGCAGCTAGACTGAGCGCGCTGCCGTCAAAGGGAAAGAAAGCATGGGTGCACATACTACCCCACAGTCCATGATCAGGAAAGAAAAAAAAAAGGAACATAATGTCCTGCAACAAGCCTCCACAAGCCGAGTTATTTTGAAGCCAGCCCCGTCGACCCTACACGTGACCTTTAGAGTCAAGATTAAGCAAGAAACAGCATTTGCCGAGAGCTCGGGGTATGACCCCTGGCAGCTTTTAAGAGAAGCGCACGAATTCAGCACAGATCATCCAGTTGACAGAAAAGGTTTAAAAACACAAAACTGCTGGCAGGAGCGAAAACCTACCATTTCCTCCGACATTTGATGACTTACGGGGCCAACAGAGTCTGCTTCATTCGCGTGATGCAATGTTCCCTCCTTTTCTGATCGACATACAGCTCAGCTTCTCACCCCTTAGTTTCCAGTACTCAGCCACAGGCCACAAGCATGCACAAACGACGCAACACAGCATCGGTGCAAAATAACTTTCCCTTGACGTGGGCGTTCCTATATAGCGGCACATCGCTATTCGCGCTTCACAAGGGAACAAATGGACGCACACAGCTCAGTCGTGCACAAAAGCATCCCACTTGGACTCGCAACACAATGTATGCTCCGTTGCCCTTACGCGACGGAGACAACACTGTATCTGGCACTTTGAACAGGAGGCTCTGGCCAATGTTCCAGCTTCGCTCTCGCGAGCAGGCAATTTTTCAACTCAATTTATCAGAAATTAGATGCTTGTCGGATTGCATTTTTTTAATGTATAGAAGGAAAGTTCGCTCACTACTCCTTTATTTAAGTGCTACACAACCATTGTCAATAATAATTTCATGTACAATTATTGGTGAAGTGCACGATTGTGCCATGGGCGTTCAAGCAGTTTATAGCCGCTTTCAGGGAGAGGCTGAGCGTCACTGCCCATATTCATGGATTTTTAAATTATTATTATTATTATACAGTCCAACCCCTTTATAAGAGACCTTGATGTAAGGGACAATAGTTAAGAGACACCAGTGTGCCTACGTTAAAATACCGGTTGCTAAATAAAGTACAAGATACCCTGCTTATAATAGACATCTCATATAGCACACAAGAATTGCTGTCTGGCAGCATGCCTCTTATAAAGGGGTTTAATCTGTATGATGCTTCTGTGTGGTGGCCTCAGTATTGCGTACAAAATAAATGCAAAAAATAAAGATACGATCCGAACCGGATTAATCTAATTTTGGCTACTGTAAGCATAGGAGTTGAGAACTCGAATTAAGCGGGAACAAATCAACAAGGTTCCACTATAATCGGCGTTCCATGGTATCAGGACGATTCACGAACCTTGTGGCTATACGTTGCCCTTGATGGTCCGTGTCGCCATCTCAATGGCGCCTTCCTTCGTCTTGTTACCGCCTATGAAGCCACTGGAGTGGACGAAGATGCAGCTGTCAATTCCACTTAACCGTGAGAGCTCCTCGTCGCGCAGACCTCGCCACTTCTCAGGAAGGTGCACCCTGCAAGGGTGCAACCGCCAAAGGGTTACCAGACAGGGCCTCTAATTGATAGCCTTCACATGACGTCATGGACTCGGGTTCTTAAAGGAACACTAAATAGCAAAAAAAGATTTTTGGAGTCTTAGTAAAGTGAAATTTCACAAGCCCAGAAACACCACTTTTACGGTGACATACTGCTTAGTAAGCGAGAAACTGCACAAAAAGGAATTGCGGGTGGCGGCGCCACCTTGAGAATCCCACACCAGACGCCTGTGTGGTCCCCTCGGTGTCGTGTACAAAAGAAACGCAGAAAATAAATGTATTATCCGAACCAGGTTAATTTATTTTTGGCAATTGCAAGCGTAGGAGTTGGGAACTTGTATTATGTGGCAAGAGATCAACGAGGTTCTACTGTAATCGGGGTTCCAGGGTATCACAGCGATTTACAAACCTTGTGGCTATACGTTGCTCTTGATTGTTCCCTGAAACACACAATCCCAGAAACACTACTTTACTGTGACACGACGCTTGGCGAGTGAGAAAACGCATGAAAGAAAATGCAGGTGGAGACGCCACCTTAAGGTTCCCAACGTGACAAATTTGAAGGCATCTACTGAGTCCTACATAGCGTCCAATCTATAGAAGTGAATTACACTGTAATCATTGAGTGCCATAGACTTAGCATAGGAAGTTTCAAAGTATTCAATCGAACCAATACCACGAAAAATACTGAAAATACATTTTGAAGTTCCCTAAGTCACACGTGGAGATTTTGGTGTGAAATTTAAAAATTAATCTTCAACCTCTATTTCTCAACTAATAACAAACTTGTGATCATGAAACATATGGCACAAGAGCTTTCGAAAGTGCAGTTCGTCAATATAAACCAAGTCAATGGGCCTCTTTATGGTACCTTCAACATAAAGGTACTTTAAAGGGCCACTCACCAGGTTTGACAATTTTGAGCTGACAAGCGCAATGCTTAGATGAGGCGTTTACGATTACGTCTGCCAAATTCGCAACACTACGCGTCGCGGAAATGGGCCAAATATTATTTCAAGATGAACGTTGCTCCCTCTTCCTTTTGCGGGCGCGCGCCCAGAGAATGAGGGCATGACGTGCGCGTATGAATGGCCCTACGTACACGGCAATGCAGTGACGCCTGGTCCTCTACGTATACGACGTGCTCCGACGTTGCTAAAAGTGGTATGTGACATGGCCAATATTATTTAACACGACATGCGTAGTTTATGTATTTGTTGCTTGAAGAAAATAATTAATGAGAGAATGTGAGCGTTCTTCTTTTTTTTCAATTTTTCCCCCATGAGGTGCAACGAGATGCGGGGCTGATGTGCCGGCGTCTCGCATGCGTTTGTGTACCTGCGGTCAGCGCATCGAGCAGACGACAGCCGTAGAACGCTCCTACGTGTTCGCGCACTCATTGTGCTCATCTATTCTACGCGTCTAAGCCAGCTTTTCCAAACCATCCCGCAGAAACAGGCAGTAAACCTCAAACAACGCTGGTAAAAAAAAAAAACAATGCTCGCGTGCACGGGGGTTGGGCTTGTTCGGGCACGTAATGCGCATGTGAGCTCTTGGTTGGATGCCAGAGAGAGTAGGGAAGAGATTTGGCTTGCGAAGGCTTCGCGGAGGAGTGTGAAGGGTCACTAAGGATCGGGGCGAGGCATGACCCGATGCAGACACCACTATTCTGTATGTATTTACGATCATTAAAAGACACAAAAGTCGACTTGATGTAAAAGGACAGAAGCTCTAAGAGGTTACTGTTATGGACACCCGTGAGATTCTGGAAGGCTACAGCACCAAATGAGTCAATGGCATTGTCAACACACTGTAACAACTTCTCATGCGGCAAAGAGTAATACAAATCTTTTATATCGACCGAAAGTGCTTTTAAGCCCCTGTCGTTATGTTCCAGAAAGTTAACCACAATGTCCGAATTCCTAATTAAAAAGGGGTCATCGACGGTGAGCAAATTGAGTTTTTCTTGCAGAAATAATGCCACAGTTTTTTGCCATGTTCCTCTCTCTGTCACAATTACCAGCAGAGGGCAATCAACCTTGAGTGTTTTGGCCGTAAAGAACACATCAAGGCTAAGCTTTTTGCACTTATCCACTGCTTTGGCAAGTTTTTCGAAACCCAAGGTGGCACACAGCTTTTTTGCCTGGGATTTAACTTTGCTAAGGGAAGTGTCATCCTCAGCTCTAAAGACGGAGTGAACAGCTGTGGTCGCTTTCTCAATAAATAAGGAGTTCGGTAAAACGACAAAACCTCCCTCTTTGTCAGAAGGTAACAGAGCTAGTGAATTGTCTTTTAAGTGTCCCACGACTTTCTTAAATGGCAGTTTTTTGGTCGAAGGCATGAAGCGCGAAACCACATCAACGCCATCGGCAACACACCAGTCCCTTTCACCCTCAGGAATCTGTCGAGCCACTTGCCTGACATAGGTAAGCAGATCGTACGGCGAATTGGCTAGTTCCATGGCGAACTTCGGTCCGCGGCACAATACGCGTCGAACCGCTTCAGGGAGCACAACACCGCCCAGAGTGTGTACAGGGTTGCGCGTAGCAGTCACTTTCATGGGGGTCATGGCACGAAGGTGGAAGAGCATATGCTGCCACAGGTACTCCGCTTTTCGGTCAATTGACGCAGACAGTTCTCGCCACTTCATTTTCGCCTTGATGATGCCTTCAGCTGTCTGGAGTTTGAGGCGTAAAGCCTCAAACTCCTGTGCTGGCTATTTGCCTGTGCTGGCTATTTGAACCTAGAAATGGAAAACCCCTTTTACCCTATGACTCTTCCCATTCCAAGTTAGTTAAGCGCAGCATCACAAATCTTTCTCTTATCAATCCTCTTAGGAAATCGTGTCATCATGTCATGCAGCGCAGCTTTGCAGCTCAAGCTGAAAGGCTTTTGAGGGCCGGGTACCCAGCTATCCTACTGGTATCTATAGCTGAAAAGCTATTAAAACAGATAAAGAAGGCTGCAACTCAGAGGCTCAGCCGGAATCTAACGACCCTAAAAGACCCGTAGTTTTACCCTACGTGCATGACATTTCCCTCCGGCTAAAAAAGATAGGGGAGAAATCCAGCGTCAAAGTGGTGTTTTCAGTGCCGGATAAGTTACAGCGGCTTTGCAAAGCTGTCAACCCTCCCAAATCACGTACCACTGGTTGCGCAACTAAGCACAAAACTCGGTTTGTGCCGTGTGCAGCGGGGGTTGTTTACGCGATTCCATTCTCATGTGGTATGTGGTACTTCGGCCAAACGAGGCGATGCCTTAATGAAAGGCTAAAAGAGCACCATTATAACGTTCACAAAGCAATCCAGGGCCACATTGGAATTCACTGCCGTGATTGTGGATGTACCCCCATGTTTGATCAATGCGAAGTGGTAAAAAAGCACCCGTCACAATTAACTCGGGAAATTATAGAAGCGCATTGCATAGCAAGAGCTGGCAGCACGTGTATTAGCGCCCCTTCTTTGGTTTTATCTGAACATGAAGTGGCCTTCCTTAATCAGGATAACCGCCTATGAATCTGTGATATGTGACGGTGTGATGTTGTGTGTTATCTTGTCGTTGCGTTAGGGTGGTTTTGTATGCTTGCGCCGGTCTACATATTTGATGCAGTTTGACAATAAAGCTCAGTTGGAAGTTAGCGCTCTGTCCTCTTGCGTCGGTCTGCTCAGCCGTTTCTTCTTCCCCATAATGCGCTATACCAGTTCAAGTACGACGAACCAACTCGCCCAACCTTCAACACTCGTAGTCTATACTTGCTGGAAGGTAAACACATCGAATGACGTAGTCAACAGCCAATGCTCTCAGCAAGGAGGCACTAACACGTCTCAATGGCGCTGTGCCTGGACCACGAGTGAGATCAGATGGGAAGTGCCGACTCCGCCTTTCTGGAAGGCACACATTCTGTAGTGCCGAAACTTGCTTCACAATGCATTTAGCAGATGGCATCACAAATGAAAGAAAGCTGTGGAAGACACAGAGTTTCATAAAATTAGCCAGAAGGAACACTGGCGCTGGGATCATTCAGCCACCATCTGAATGATGGGTAGTACATGAGTTTGCCTAGTGTCCATGCTTGTGGACTTAGAATGCACTTGTGGCTTTGTTGTGAACTTCGTGAGCCCATTTGAACTGGTGGATCTAAGAAGGTCAATGTGGTGAAGTGTCACAGCTACACCTTTGCTGAACTTCATCTTAGCAAAGCAGTTTCAGGCCTCATGAAGCCGAAAGAATGAAGACTAGACAAATCCATGAACTACTCATTAGTCGCATACTGGCTGAAGTGCAGCTTCCTTAGACACTAGCGCCAGAGTTCCCTCTAGTGTATTTATAAAAGACTATCGTGGAGAAAAAACTCAGGTCCGTCAGCAGAGCCGCAGGCGGGAAGTGCCTGCGTCGTTACTATAGCAACGGTGCACGATTATGCTTTACTGCGTTCCTGCGTCTGCTAGTTTACCAGTTTTGCTGTCTACTACAGGCACTTTGTTCTGCGCCACCGTCAGCACATGCACTCGTGCGAGCAGATTGCTTAATTACTTCTATGTGCCTTGAAAGATGGTGCTACGCGCTGCAAGTAGTCAGCTGAGTGCAGCGAAAGTGTAAAGCGAAAGTGTAAAAAGCGAAAAGAAAAAGAGCAAAACAATGATCCAGGCACCCACGTTCCCATTTACATGGTTTTTCCAGGGCAAATGCGTAGCGTAGATACGGAGGCTTAACTCCTGCCTCATCTTACTTCGTGGCCTGAATTTACAATGCAGCGACGACCACTGCATCATCTGCTTAGGGGCAGTTTGAAGGCTGTCAACAAGAAAATGACACGACTGTCAGCCTCGCGGCATTGCCAAGGTCAAAGACAGGATGGTAGACACAATAAGGTTAGCTTAAGTGAAGCGAAGAGTTGCAGTCAATTTTAAGGCCCATAATTTTTTTTATGTCACATCCTCTTTCAAAAGCAAAGAAAGAAAAATAACGAAGAAAGAAGAAACAGCACACGAAACACAGAGACACGACAACAGCTGTGCTTGGTTTTGCCAAAGCGCACAGGTGCTGTCTTCTCTGTCTTTCGCGTGCTGTGTTTCTTGCGTGATCCTCAGTTCTTGAAAAAATGCACCAACTTGCCCCTAAACACATGCCACTTGACATCACACCCTTGTGAACCACAACGGGCTCTCACCGGCACTCGAAGGAGCCAAGCGTCACCGGCACGCCCTGCACCCGCCAGCTGCTGCCGTCTTGGTCTTGGTACAGCACCATCTTGACCTCGCCCGGGATGGACAGCTCCTCCTCGAGGGTCAGCAGGTGATCCTTCCAAGGACAGCCACCACGCTCCATAATCATAATGGAGCCCGCATCCCCGACCTGTTTTTGTTTTTAATCGTCAGTTTCGCACATGATACGGTTACCACAACAGAAAGTGAGAATGTGTCCGAGTTATTACACAATTTCTCTCCCAGTATCACTCTCACAACTGCCAAAATATTGCTAAAATCTTCTGCAAATACCTTTTGTCGCTGCTGAAGTGCATTTAGGACAAGTTCCCGGGCAGGCAACCATGCTGTGGCATAAAAGCGCACACGTTCTAGGAACTCCTCGCCTGTCAGCTTCATGGCCTTCAAGAATTGTTCCTGTAACACCCAGAGACAAGAAGAATGTTAGAATTGTAATGAAGAAGTAGTGGGTCATGCAAAGCTCAGCAAACACATCGTCGGCACTAAGCATAAGGCACTCGGCTCGGACATTGTCGCTGCTTTCGCTGGCTAGGCCTACGCTCCTATCTGGTCTCAAATAACAGTTCTGGCTGTCTCAGTTCTTTATTTGGTGGAGGTGCAGGGTCTCCTCGCAATCCTGGAGTTGCGAAGCTGAACTTGACCTGTCGCCATGACCACTGCATCAGCCGCATGCCCTCCATCTATGTCTCTCCAGGCCATTGTGTGCTCCGGTGCTGTCTGTCAGCGGGACCCTCCCATATTCAGCGGCACTGACGATCATGACGTTGATGACTGGCTGGCAACCTACGAACTCATGAGTGTCTTGAACAAATGGGACGAAGCTACGAGACTGGCAACCCTCAGCATTTATATCAGTGGCATTGCCCACTTGTGGATTCGGAAGCATGAAACCGGCGATCCAACTTGAAAAGCATTCAAGACAAAGTTCAGCAAAGTCGTCGGTTGTCCAGCTGTCCACAAACTTCGTGCGGAGCACCGCCTTCAGTCAAGATCTCAACTGCCTGGTGAGAATTTCACCAGTTAAACTAGAGGACGTGATTGACTTGTACAAATGCCTCGATGTGAACATAGCAGAGGCAGACTGCATCCAGCATATTTTTAAGGGTATCGACGAGGATGCATTCCAAATGCTGATTTCAAAAAGCCCGGCTATTGTCGCCCAGGTTACCGAGCTCTGCCAAAGCTATGATGAGCTCCGCCGGCAACGTCTTGTCACCTGCCGTGCTGTCCTACATCAGGAATCGATGTCCGGCCTAACTCCCTCGCAAGATCCGGTCCTCTTCTCGCAGATCAAAGATATTGTGCGCGAAGAAGCTGCCCGCCAACTGTCGCTCATGCTCCGGCCTACCAAAGCGCAGTGCGCTGCTTAGTCCTACACTACGGACTATTATACAAGACCAAGTGTCTGAGGTCCTTCCTCTGCCATCAGTCAATGCACCTATGACATACGCCAAAGCAGCAGCACGACCACGACCACAGAAGTTCCGAGCGCCGCCTCCACTGCCTGCTCCCTTGGTGATGCTCTACCTGCGAACGATCGCCCTTTCTACGCGAAGTTGGTCAACGACACCCAGATCCCTCCAAGCGCTACTGTCATCGCACCTATGTTGTGTTTCGCCGCCTTCAATGCTACCACATTCTTCACACCTTCCGTGCCTCTGGGAAATCCATTGCCATTCATGATCACGCTGCTTCGGGGCCAATGTATCGGCTCAATAGAAACATTTGAAACCATCGCTACACTTGACGTTCCTGAAGGATCATCGGAAGTCAGCGCCCTCTCCTGTAGTTCACTGCCCACATTTTCAACCGTGTCATCAATGAAGGCCTAAATTAACAACCGAGGTGTGAGCTTTTGAGCCTCCTTGACAAGTTTTGGCCATCTTTTGACAGCCACAATGCTACTTTAGGTCGCACGTCTACTGTATGCCACCAGATTGACACAGGTAATCACCCACCACTACGGCAGCGACCATATCGTGTTTCGCCGACTGAACGCCTTGTCAACGATGAACAAGTAGATGACATGCTAAAGCGCGACCTCGTTCATCTATCAAACAGTCCTTGGGCGTCGCCGGTTATTTAAGGTTAAAAAGAAGAATGGCATGATATGCTTTTGCGTAGGTTATCGTCGTCTAAACAAAATAACACGAAAGGATGTTTATGCTTTGCCTTGTATCGATAACGCCCTCGATTCTTTTCAAGGCACAGAGTTCTTTTCCTCCCTTGATCTACGCTTTGGTTATTGGCAAGTGCCCATGAATCCGGATGATAGGCCAAAAAGTGGATTATTGTAGCGATCGACCATCTCACAAGATAAGCAGAAACGGCCGCTCTACCAGTCGCGACGGCACGTGACACTGCGTTTTTCCTGCTGCAACGTTTTGTTCTGCGTCACGGCGCTCCTCAAGAACTTTTGAGCGACCGAGGCCGCGTCTTTCTTGCGGATGTTATTCAAGAACTTCTAGCTGAATGCCATGTGATTCACCGCTGTACTACCGCATATCGCCCACAAACAAACGGCGTGACCGAACGTTTCAACCGCACTCTTGGCGACATGCTTTCTATGTATGTCGCCTCCGACCACACCAACTAGGATCTTATTCGTCCCTACGTAACATACGTTTACAACGCAGTGCCTCAAGCGACGACAGGCTTTTCTCCCTTCTTCTTACTCTATGGTCGAGAGCCATCATCTCCAATCGCCACCATTCTCCCCTGCCAACCCAACTCAACCGTAGGCACACCAGTTTCCGAAGTCGCTCGGTATGCGGAAAAATGTCGCCAATTAAATTGCACCCTTACAACACAAGAACAAGGGCTACAGAAATTTCCTCACGACGATGGGTGGTCCCACTACCAGTTTTCACCCAACTTTCTTGTTTGGCTGCGGGTGCTTCCCACTCCTGCTACCTCTACAAAGTTCGTCAGCAAGTACCATGGACCTTATCGCGCCATAGAGCAAACTTCCGCTGTCAACTACTTCACTGAACCCCTCACGCCCACTGCGGACCTGCGTCGCCGAGGCTGTAAAATCGTACACGTGGATCGTCTCAAACCTTATCACGAACCACTTGTCCTCATGACACCTTAGAACAATTACTTGGCTCCGTCTTCAGCGAGGGGAGAAATATGTAATGAAGAAGTAGTGGGTCATGCAAAGCTCAGCAAACACATCGTCAGCGCTAAGGACGAGGCACTCGGCCCGGACGTTGTTGCTGCTTTCACTGGCTAGGCCTACGCTCTTACCTGGTCTCACATAACAGTTCTGGCTTTCTCAGTGCTTTATTATAGAACATTTGTCACCTTATGTACGTTAAGCGCCAACACCTTTGGGGAATGTCATGGTACGCATTCATTTACAACTTTCAGTAGAACACGCGAGAATGCAAGCATTCAAGACGTAAAAAAAAAAAAAAACACTCGATGCCATGTGCCACGCATATTGAAGCCGAACCACCCTATTAGCAACTACCCTGCTAATTCTATGCAGGCGCACTTTCATATGCCAACACATTCTGGAATGGGAACACACTCAGAAATTTCACATGCGATGTACCCATGACAAACATAAGAAGTGGTTGGCGATGCAAAAGTTTGTTTCAACAGTTACTGGCGATCAATTATAGCGAGACAGTAATCTAGACAGATTTCCTTCCCAAGAGCTGGCTGTGGGTAGTACGTTGTTAGACAGCACCATTTTTCTAGTCTATATATAAACAATGCCTATGTTAAGCTTGCCATATAACATACATGAGCATTGTTGTTATACGGAACTTTGGGGGGAGTGAAAATTCTTGTACCATCCAAAATGTCGTGTAAAAAAAAAACTAACAATATCCATTTCCAAACCATGATGTACGCACAAGAACACTAATTTCCATGGAAAGAACTCTCGTATCTCTCTCTGGAACGCACGCGACTGGGCCACTAAGGGATGGCACAGCTGGCTGCGGTGAATATGGGTATCGAAGCCACGCTTCAGGCCAACTGAAAACTAAAGGCCAAAGTTCACACAACCATAATTATAAGCGAATAGCAGGAATATCAAAACAATTCCAGGCTTTTTTTAATGACTGTTTTGCCTCTAATCTACCGCTTTTGCTAGCTGCCTACCTTCGGAGCTGTGTAATTGATATCGATAGCCATGCTGACAGCAACCGCGGTTTTGTGCACAGCTATTGCAGCAAACAGCAGTTCTATTTTCAAAACACTGTGTGTGCTGACCGTGCATGTGCCCTCAGAACTATGTCGTTGCATCTATGATCGTGTCTACCATGGTTTTGTCTTCATTGGTTGCGGCAGACAGTTATGCTTCGATTTAGTCAGCATTAAATGTGTTTGTACTTGAAGAAATTTCGTTGTCGCCATACATGATTGTCTCGATAGCAACTGCGGTTTCATGTGCAGTGGCAGCTACAAACGATAACCAGAGTTCTAACTGTTTGTGAGCTCTCGAAAGGTGCACAACTACAAAGCTTTCGGAGCACGCTCCTGTGAGTCATTTCTCGACGGTTTCCATACTAACGTTTCTACAACCCATTGTACTGCAGATTAGTGTTCGGGACATCCGAATTGCAACTCATTAAACACAATAGAATTTGGCCAAGGAATTTCACAAAGGTGGCTGAACGATCGCAGTGCCACAGTCCCCTCTATTTGATTTCAGAAAACTCTATTGTTCAATGTAACCGCTTTTCAAATTAACGCCTAGAGTAGCTTTGTACACATTTGCGCACACAACTTGTTATTGCCAGTCATGTCGACTAGTAGCTAAGAAAGAGCAATATACATTGATGTTTGGATGAACTAAACAGCAAACAGCTTCATAATGTCCTCATTTACATTTTTAGTTTTCAGGGTATTATTGCATATGATTACTTTGTGAAAGGCACTACCATGTTTGCCCTGCTGCTCTCCGCAAGCCATGTGTGAAGAAAAATAAATTCTTTTCAAAATGAACATAAACGATAGTGAAATTGCCCTCTATTACTAGTGTGAGATTCGATTCCATATATCCAAAAACAGAACATTAGTGCTTCAGGACATAGTTCATTAAAATTTCATCAAGATTATTTACTTTAAACAAGCAAATGAATACACGACATTACTTTTGATGCAACAGAACGCAGAACATGTAGGGCTTCGAAATACAGTCTCGTAAATTTGACTCGTTTGCAGACAGTCCGTCATGCCTGAAAGGGTCAAGAGATTTTTAAGGTAATGAGGTACTGCCATAGAACCTTAAGTACAACCGGTAAGCAACAGAAAACTCACGTAAAGATTGGGGTTCGGCTCGTTCCATGCCGGGTTCAGGTGGGCCACTCGGGAGCTCACGTTCGTGTTTATTCGGTAACTGCAAAGAGTACCAGCACAAACAGGGGGAGTCACACGACGCGTGCCTCACTGTTTCGGGCATGACCAGAACACAGGAGCATGGAAGTACGGCAGCAGCGAAAGCTTCGGCCAACCACCGTTCAGAATCCGTGGCGGCCGAAGGACCAAGGTGCCAGAATTTCACTCCAGTAACGTCGTTGCGACCGCCAAACCTGTGCGATAATTAGAATGCTTCAAACATTCAAACGAATGTTGCCGCATTCGAATGCGCTTTCATTCGAATTTATATTGTCGAAAAGTTTCGAATATTCGAAATGAACGAATATGCGTGCGTTACTCCGCATGTAACCCCTCCAAAAATGGTTTCGCTGCAGTGAAGGGGTGCTAGCCCTTGAAACACCTATCCTTAATGTATCCACATGTAACCCACTGTAAAAGTGGTTTCACTGCAGTAAACAAGTGCTAAGTCCGCAAAAAACGTCCATTAATGGGATATCTGCACTGCCGCAATGCCCCAGTTAAAGGTGAAATGAACATGTTATCCTCACGTCGATTCATCATTTCTTAAGTTTAAAAGCTTGCTATTCTGGTTTATATGCTCCGACTATAGTAAATTTTGAAACACCATATTTTACAGGTTATTACTTGCATTCTACTGAAAGTCAAACCCTGTTACTATTAAAAGTTGTTCCTACTCCCTTTGAACCGAAAAAGAATGGAATTTGCACAGGACTTGTTGTCATTTTAAGATATGCTGTGCAGATTGATTGGGTCTTGAAGTATATGACCACCATTTTTCATACATATACTATATATATATATATATATATATATATATATATACATATATATATATATATATATATATATATATATATATATATCCTGCCCATGAAAAGTTATCTTTTCACACACTTTTCTTTCTTCACATTTACATTACAATTGGCTTAATAACTTCCCCTATACATTCCTTGGCATTATTGTCTGTTAGATCTCATTACTATTGTGTCTAAACACGAAAAAACGAGCCCTTAAGTATACACTTGTTTCCCTTATATATATAACTCAACTTGAAGAAGTGTCACTTTGGAGCGCGCAAGCTGACCATTCTCGGACACGTCGTGTCGCAGGATGGCGTTCTTCCTGACCCCGCTAAGCTACGTGCTGTTCGCGAGTTCCCGAGGCCCACGTCTCTCAAGCAGCTGCGTAATTTCATTGGGCTTTGCTCAAACTTCCACCGCTTCATCCGGGGTTTCGCCTCGATCACGGCGCCTCTGACAGACCTACTTCAGGGAGACCGCAATCTATCTGCGTGGTCTCCAGCCTGCGACAGTGCCTTTGCGAAGCTCCGTGAACTGCTTACAACACCACCCATACTGCGTCATTTCGATTCAAGCGCTCCCACAGAAATCCACACAGATGCTAGTGGTGTCGGTCTTGGCGCTGTACTCGCCCAACGAAAGCCCGGTTACCAAGAATATGTTGTTGCGTACGCGAGCCGCACTCTTACAAGAACAGAAGCAAATTATTCGGTAACTGAGAAAGAATGCCTAGCGATTATCTGGGCCATTACAAAATTTCGGCCTTATCTGTACGGCCGCCCTTTCGATGTTGTTACCGACCACCACGCGCTCTGCTGGTTATCCTCCCTCAAAGATCCCTCAGGACGCTTGGCACGATGGGCTTTACGGCTCCAAGAGTACGACATCCGCGTCATTTATCGCTCTGGCCAGAAGCATGCCGATGCCGACGCTCTTTCGCGTTCGCCTGTTTCTACTGATATTGCGAGTGTCTCCATCCAAGACAACTTCCTTCCACTATCAGGACCCATCAACATGGCTGCGGAGCAGCGCAAAGATTCGTGGATTGCGTCTCTGATGGATTACCTATCTGAAATGCTCGCCCACCCGCCACCTCGAGCGCTACACCGACAAGCCTCTCACTTCACCACCCGTGATGGAATACTTTATCGCCGCAACTACCACCCTGATGGTCGCAAATGGCTACTCGTCATACCCAGGCATCTCCGTGCCAGCATATGTGCTGCTTTCCATGCCGATCCGCAGTGTGCGCACGCCGGTTTGTTTAAAACCTACGCCAGGCTACGTTTTCGGTTTTATTGGCGCGGCATGTACACATTCGTTCAAAAGTACATTCGATCTTGCACAGAGTGCCAACGCCGCAAGCACGATCCTAGCCGTCCTACTGCACCAATGCAGCCTTTACCGTGCCCACTGCGACCATTCGACCGGGTTGGAATAAACCTTTATGGTCCTCTACCATATACATCAGCTGGGAATCGCTGGATTATTGTAGCGATTCGACCATCTCACGAGATATGCAGAAACGGCCGCTCTACCAGCCGCGACGGCACGTGACGTTGCGTCTTTCCTGCTGGAACGTTTTGTTCTGCGTCACGGCGCTCCACGTGAACTTTTGAGCGACCGAGGCCCCGTCTTTCTCGCGGATGTTATTTAAGAACTTCTTGCAGAATGCCATGTGATTCACCCCTGTACTACCGCATATCACCCACAAACAAATGGCTTGACCGAGCGTTTCAACCGAACTCTTGGCGACGTGCTTTCTATGTATGTCGCCTCCGACCACACCAACTGGGATCTCATCCTTCCCGACGTAACGTACGCTTACAACACGGCACCTCAAGCGACGACAGGCTTTTCTCCCTTCTTTTTACTTTATGGTCGAGAACCATCATCTCCAATCGACACCGTTCTCCCCTTCGACCCGACTCATCCGAAGGCACACCAGTTTCCGAAGCCACGCGGTATGCGGAAGAATGTCCGGCAATTAGCTCGCACCCTTACAACACAAGAACAAGGGCTACAGAAATTTCGTCACAACGATGGACGGTCTAACTACCAGTTTTCGCCCAACTCTCTTGTTTGGCTGTGGGTGCCCCCCAGTGCTGCTCCTGGTACCTCTACAAAGTTTGTCAGCAGGTACCATGGACCTTATCGCGTCATAGAACAAACTTCCGCTGTTAACTACCTCATCGAACCCCTCACGACCACTGTAGACCTGCGTCGCCGAGGCCGCGAAATCGTACATGTGGATCGCCTCAAACCATATCACGAACCACTTGTCCTCACGACACCTTAGAACACTTACTTGGCACCATCTTCAGCGAGGGGGAAATATGTAATGATGAATGTAGTGGGTCATGCAAATCTTGGCAAACACACTGTCAGTGTTAAGCACGAGACGCTCGGCCCGGACTGTCGCTGATTTCGCTAGCTAGGCTTACGCTCTTACCTGGTCTGGTATAACAGTTTTGACTGTCTCAGTTCTTTATTATAATATATGCACACACACACATATATATATACTTCAAATTAATTCAAAATCATTTGGTCAAAATCACCATTTGTTTTGAATTTGCTTCGAACCTAGTATTCACTATTCACACAAGCCTAGAGATAGCGATTATAGAAACCCCATGGGGACGACTCCTTCCTTAACATGCCGAGAATGTGGGTTCATATGGCATTAGCGGCAAGCTGACTGCTTCAGATCACTTTCGCTTACCCTTTAATCCTACAATAACAAAACTTTAACAAAAAGCTACATCATCCTCTTGTACAATCCTACTTTCATATGAAGTCTGCCGAGGTCCAATTACGACCAACATGCGGTACGTTGTGTGCATGGAGGAAGGTGAGGGCGAGTGGGCAGTCAAGAACAGCGACTTGACGCAGCGACACTAGAAGCAGAAGGTGTGCATGTGTGTGTTTGTGTGTGTGCACGTTAATGAGGTGGAATGTGGTAGAAAATAATCCTCAAGTTAGACCAGCCATACACAGCTGAGCACACAGCTGTGCATCCTGCATACTGCGATGTTTGCACACATACCGTAATTACTCGAATCTAACGCGCACCTTTTTTCCGGTTAAGCGAGTTCATAAATCGCATGCGCGTTAGAATCGAGTACGAACAAAAAAATTACGGTCAATCTATTGCCATCGCAAATCCAAAATGGCCGCCCCCTACGTGCGTCGGCTATTTCTGCCTATGTGTTTACCATGTGCGGCACTTCGTACGTGTGCTGAGGAGTTCGTCATCTAGTAGTGCATTAGCATCGACGATGTGGAAGGGCCGACTCCAAAAACTCGAGTGCACCACGATGCCGCTTTTAAAAGAAAAGTCATCGCGTGTGCAGAAACGGACGGAAATCGGGCCGCATCGCGGTCGTTCCCGAAACGTGCGTGCGGGACCGGCGGAAACAAAAGCAGAAGATTGTCGACAGCAAAGCTTCACGCAAAGGCTTCAGTGAACCACAGCAGGGTCGGTTTCTGCAAATTGAAGAGCTGCTCCGCGAGTATGTGCTTGAGGAGCGAGCGGCACAGCGGCCCGTGACGACAGAACTGCTCCAAGTGCGGGCTATGCAATTAGTCTTAGAAAAAAGTCTAATGCGGAGCCAGTTTAAAGCGAGCAGGTGCTGGCTAATTAACTATATGAAGAGGAAAGGCTCTTCCCTCTGAAGGGGAACATGCATATGCAAAAACTTTTGCGGAGAAGTACGATGAAAAGCTTTACAGTTTTCAGAGGTTCGTCCTAAACTTGCGGCGCAACAACGGCTACCTGCTTGGGCAAATCTGGAATGCTGATCAGACGCCTCTTTACTTCGACATGCCTGGCACCACAACTGTCAAGAAGAAGGGGGCGAAGCAAGTTCGCGTGCTGACATCGGTTCACGGTAAAACTACAGTGACTGGCAATGCTCTGTTACACGTCAGATGGGCACAAGCTTCGCCCGTACCTCATATTTAAATGGAAGACAATCCTGAAAGGAATCGTTTTTTCGAGTGGTGTGATCGTGCGGGCCAGCAAAAAAAAATGGGTGTGCGTTGCAATCGATGTCTTACGTTTTTTTTTTTTTTTTTTTTTTCGCGGTGGAAATCGGGTGCGCGTTACAATCGAGGGCGCGGTAGAATCGAGTAAATACGGTACCACGTCTTTCCATGTGGGTAGTCCTGGACGTCGCGTTATCTAAATGTTTCAGGGGATAATTTCAGGGGATAAAAGTGATTATTATTCTTGTTTGTAAGCGAATGTATGCTGCAACACAGATGCCAGTAAAAATTAGCACGAGCTTTGTTTTGCTCAGCCCAAATACATTCTTAGTGTCTTTACGGTGAGAAACTTGATGCTCCCAGGTCGTAGGCGAGAGATCATTGGTCAGCTGCCAGCTCGTAGTAAGGTCACGGGGTCCATGACGCCAACAGGCAAAGAAAAAGTGTTCCATACTCGCCATCAGGGCTATCGGCTGCAATGACTGATGCTCCCAGATCTAAATGCACATTTGTACCCTATAAAGCGGGCAGAGGGATGACAGCCACTGTAGCTCAGCAGTAGAGCATCAAACATGTTTTTCAAAGGCCACTGCTTTGGTCCCTGGTGGAGGCAAGTCATCTATTCGTCAATTTTTCTTTCTCGACATTTACATTACAATTACAGTAGGTTCTCAGTAAAAGGAAATCTGTTAAATGGAAGTGCTGCTGAAACGGAACAGGCACTTTCGGAAAGATTGGTTTTATTCTTGTATTCTGCACCCTTGTTCATTTCTCAGTAAATTAAACATATATTCTGGGTCCCTTCACTTTCCATTTGTTGAGAGTCTTCTGTACTTCTAATAACATCCTCTATACTTCTCCTGGCATAATTGTTGTTAGTTCTCATTAATATAGTGTCTAACAAAGAAAACGATTCCCTTAGATTTACACTTCCTGCATCTCTGTAAGAGACACATTCACATACCGTGGCTCCCCGTCGTAGGCATTGATGCCGTTGTCGATGGCATCAATCTCTTCCATGAAGTTCTCGTAGACCTTGTCGTAGATCTTTTCGAGGTTCGGCTCGGAGAGCCTTCCAGCCGAGCGTCTCTGCTATCACCTCTCGCCCGTGGTGAACGTAGACAAGCCCTGCACTGCTCAGCTTGGTGGTCCACTTTTTGGCTGGGTTCAGCTGAATTCATCGTCTCGTTGAAGGTCCTGGTCAGGGAAGAACAGAAGCAATGCGCAGTTATGCCTCTGAAGACATCGAAGTGAAATTTGCGCGACGTCACAAAAGCGTGATGTCATGTGCAAAGTGCAGTAAGAAAACAGATCATGCAAAAGTCATTAACGACAACTGTTAAAATAAACAGATGGCTTCCTGCTTATAGTACTATCATGAGCATTACGATGGGGAACATGTAAGTACACAATGAATAATCTTAAAGGGCCACTCACCAGGTTTGACAATTTTGAACTGACAAGCGCAATGCGTAGACGAGGCGTTCATGATCACGTCTGCCAAAATTTGCAACGCTATGTGTCGCGGAAATGGGTCAAATTTCAAGATGAAAGCTGCTCGCCCTCCCCTCTACCTGCGCACGCGTAGAGAATGAGGGCATGACGTGGGCATAGAAATGGCCCTACGTACACAGCACTGCGGTCACGTTGGTCCTCTACGTAGACGACTCTGCTCTGACGTTGTCAACAGTATACCACGTGACATGGCAAAAATTATTTAACACAATATGCGTAGTTTATATATTTGTTGCTTTAAGAGATGAGTAAAACTTGAAATAAATAATGAGACGCAATAAAAAATTGTGCACATTTTTCTTACATTTTTTCCCGTGAAATGCTGCGAGATGCGGGGCTAATGTGCCAGCGTTTCACATGCGTTTGGGTTCCCACGGTCAGCGCATTGAGCAGACGGCCGCCGTGGAACGCTCCTACGCATTCGCGCACTCATTGTGCTCATTTACTCTACCGCGTCTAAGCCAGCATTTCCAAACGATCCCGCAGAAACAGGCAGAAGACCACAAAATAACGCTAGTCAACAGAGCTACGCCGCTAGCGTGCACGGGGGCTGGGCTTGTTCGGGCGCGTCATGCGAACGTCACCTCTTGGTCGGATGCCGGAGAGGGTGGGGAAGAGGTTTGGCTTGCGAAGGCTACGTGGAGGAGCAGCAAGGGTTTCGAACTCGTCTCCTCTCACCCTCGTTTTGCGCCGCTTCAAAAAACCTGTTTTCTCCGCTAGTAATGAACCGATTCGAGAAATTTTTGTGGCAAATTGTTCCTCATCGAACACCCAACAACTTCCACTGTCAAACTAAAATTTGGTATGCGGCCTGGTGAGTGGCCCTTTAAGTGAGAATTGAGCCAATGCTCGAATGGTGCTGTCAAAAATAAGAGTGTGACGCTTTTCCAGAAACTGTTGCCACTACCGCCACATGTTTACTATGGATGAAATACACGACACAAACAAGAGTTTCATATTTTAACGACTGTTGTAGTGCTTACGAGCAGCAAAGAGCGGCACCTTTGATTCAAACAACATTTGGCTGGATCTTGGTTTTGTGTGTTGCATGCACATGTAGAAGCCAATTTGAAAAGCAGCATTTTTCTCGGAACTATAGACATCACTGCTATGTTCTTCTTGGCATACCTGCCCGCTATATCTAGACAATCAGCTTTCCTCCTTTACCGACAATGGCGAGACCGGCAGCTAACCTTTAGTGAGACCGCAGTGCCCCTTCCAGTTCGTTTCAAACAGCAGCCAGTGAAAATTGCCCTGCGTTGGTTTTGAAGCTATTGGTCATGGGCTCGCGTGTTGTTTTTCGTACGGCTGGCGATATTGTCGCGAGACGAAACGACAAAGAATACGACACGGAGCGAATGTCAGTTTGCTTCCAGCCACAATAGCCACCAACTTCTTCCTTCTCAGTTTCTAGCGCAGGGCATGGCATTAACCTCTCGCCCACCTCACCTCCAACAATAAAAAAAAGCTTTGTCTCAATGCCATAGCTTGAAAAAAAAAAAAAGCTGAGTCGTGAAAGTTGGCGACGACTTTCACGCAAAGTACAAAATAAAAGAAACGAAAAAGAGACACAACGGGCTCGAGGGAAGACGCGGCACCTCAAAGTTTACAGCTTGCAGTCAACGCGAATAATATGACTTCATCCAGGTGATGTGAACCACATGAGAAGAATGTAGTGTACGAAAGTGACGGGATGGGTCTGCTGGCGCTATTTCATATTTGACTTCGTTTAAGTGACGCAGAACGCAGTGAAGGCCGAAATACCGGCACAACAATTTTCGCGGGCCAGGACGAAATTCGGTCTGCAAAGCCGGGCAGTGGATGAGGCTTGGGAAACGTTGAGAAGGCTCAGCAGGTGGATGTGAGAAACGTGCCATCGACGGCGTAGGGACTTACAGGGCGTCTGTGTAGGATGGCGTGGGAGATTCGGCTCGTGATGGTCGCGAGGAAGGGATGATTTGCCTGATTTTATCCCGAATGACGTCGATAAGAACTGTGATGCTCGGAGGTGCCGCTGCACGACACTTCTGGAGCTCCTCTCGGATGAAGTGCTGTATTAGCTCTGCAGGGGTCTTCCTGCCATCACGCTTAGGCACAACCAAGCAAGCAGTTCCCAGGGCAGTCTGTCGCTCATACTGAGATAACTGCCGAAGCGTGCGCTCCATAATTTTCACCTCACGGATGAACTCTGCCACCGTTGTTGGCGGGTTGTGCACGAGGCTCGCGAAAATCTGTTCCTTTATGCCTTGCATAAACAGTCGTACTTTCTTGGCCTCTAGCGTTTACAGATCATCTTGTCGGGACAACCAGTCCTGGAAGTGCCTTTTTACTTCTTGGAGCATACTTTGGAGCAGGAAAAGTACTGCTATGGAACAGCCATAAGGGTTTTCGGAGCAGAAAAAAAAAAGGCTAGTTTATAGGAGCTATTAGTGTTTTAGAAGCAGGTAATAAATTTGCCATACATTAATTGGAGTTCAGAGCATTGTTGAGGCACCTCATAAATATTAATATTTCCTATGAACTATATTTACCAGACAATCAATGTAAATTTCATGAAGTGAATGATAACATGTTGGCAAAAAGGTGCTACAAATCAAGCTACAATTTAAAATACCCGTATCTGTGGCAGAAATCAAATCAAACCGGGAAAGCTGAGCACCACATTTTAGAAGTAACCACAGTCCCACATAGCTCTCTAGCCCAAATAAGCACTAGATAATCGGTACGGGATAAAAGCAATCCTTCTCATTTTCACATTTTCCCACATTAGCCTCAATGTCTAGCTGAAAAAAAAAAACAGCCTAATGTTTAATATCCCAGCTCTTGTGTCACAAATGAGGTCAGAACTGACGATGCTGCACACTAGAAGAACACTGCAATGATGGCACACAGATTCTTTTCAGTTTCTTTAGAGCTTATGACTCAGTCAAGCAATAAACGTTCGTCATTCTCATTTTGGAGCAGGGTTTGGAGCAATTACTAACAAGAATTACTGTTTGGAGCAGCTATTCTTTTTTGAAGCAGTTTGGAGCAATTGGAGCAGCACTTTTATCACCGAACATGCGTGACATGTCTTCCACAAACATGTCAACACTTGCTCGGCATTTGAAATCTTGCAGACAGGGTCACCTCAGCTCTTTCTACTCGGGGTTGCTAAAGGCCTCTCGGAGTGGCCAATCGAACTCCGGCCAACAGGTGAACGAAGCCTCATGGCTCTCGTACTACACTCTCGTAACATCAACAAGGGAGATGTAGATGTTTTTCAACCTGCGGCGATTGTCCCAGTCATTGATGGCAGCCACCCAGTCGAAATTGTCCGAACAGTCTTCCACACTCCCGCCGGGATCAGCGTGGCAGGGGTAAGGTGGGTGAGGTGTCTTGACGATGCACGGTACAGCAGCGAATGAGTCCTGCTGATGCTCAGTTAGGGTTGCGGTCGTTGAAAACATTTTCTTTGGCGAACTTGCCAGGGGACCGTATTGGGGTGGTAGGCGTTGAAGGCAACAGCTGGTTCCATAGATTTCAGCAGAACCCGATGTACTGGCCTCGGTTGTTTCCGGTTTAGGACCAGCAGGCATAGGACGTTGGAGTATCCAGCACCCCTCACCAGTTTTTCGCGAGAGGAGACGACAAGGGGGATGACACGGTGCGAACAACGGTTCACTTCCAGTCACAGCAACCACCAACACTTTCTTTCTCAGTCTCTACCGCCACTAGCGCATAGCGATATTATACACACAGAGCTAATTTAAGTGACAACCCATTGCCCCCTTGAAGGTGAATTAGCACAAATGCCCCTTTTTTCCTTCACCAAAACAGGCACTTCTGATCTCAATGCATCCATGACACACAAACGCAGAAGCCTTTTATGACGACTAACTTTTGGTGGTGGTCATAGCGCCTCTTGGCAGGATCATACACAGCACCCACGTCCACGACCACGTCGCATGTGTCCAAGACAGCCGGGTCTCTAGATCTGTACATTGAAAAGGCAGACAACACGAAAACTAATTAGCAGGGTTGTGTACCATATCATAAATGTAGTGAAAACGTAAAGTCCAATCATGTTGCATTCAATTTTTACACAATGCTTCCCGTGCTCTTTCTACAGCCTGTTTATTATTAGTAACATAACCACTTTTTATTAGTAACTTGAGCACAGAGTGTCTGACACTCTAGGTTCTCTTTCAGGCACTTTCAGCAGAGCACCTACTTTGGCTTCTCAAGATATTAAGAAAAAGTTTGTAAAATGTTAAAACTGGTAGACGATCAACAGTTATGGTTGAACACATGACATTGGAGCATGCTAAGTTCACTAAAGAGAGAGAGAGGCCAATCAATTGTCAGGCCAACTAATGAAAATTAACTGAATGAATTCAGCGAAAAAACAGACTTTTCTTGTGAGCAGCTCCGACAGTTACGGCATTTGGTGGAGCAGGTTTTAACCACACACTTATTTTTACACACACTCTGAGACACACTTCGGCAGTGCAACTAAACACGAAGTATAAGAGGAGTACCGACGTAAAAAACTTTCAGTTGTTTCGGTGCATTGATTAAAGAGCCTAGCCCTCAAGAGCCTAGACAATGTACTGCTGGGCTTGAGCGCGGCCTAGAAGAATAATTACAGTATGCATTTGTTCAGTCCCTGCTGTATCTTGACATCACAACATGATGCGAGGTTCTAGTCGCATAATCACGCAAGATATTGTGATATTTTCGCAGCCACTTCCCGCTGTGCCTCCGTTGGTGACGCGCAAGTGGCCATTTTGGAAGTGTCGGAACCTGACACAACAACTACCCAGAGAACCATGCGTAGAAAACAGAATTGGTACCGTCGAGCTAGCATCAATGTCGTAGGTGCCCCATAGAAAAATGTATTTCAAAGGGCCAATAAACAACCCCAAGGTCCGAATATTGCTATAAAAAGACACATGTACACTTTTGTTTAGTCAACATGCTCCTGCAAAAGTTTTGCAAATACACACTACACTCAACCCTCCTTATCAAAAAGTTGCATCTTAAAATAAAATACATTAGCTATACCTGGAAACTTGATATAAAAGTATGTTCCTAACACTATATCTATTGCAAGCTTATTTTTCATTTACTTTGTTATAACTGATGTTTCGTTATATCGAGGTTTGAGTATACATTAAAAAGGTACTGACACAAAATTTCGCGGCCGCGATGGCTTGCGGGGATCAATTTACGTGAATATTCGTATATCACCTGCAAAATATCAACAGCGAATATAGCTTGGAAGGTATTTTTAATTCATTTTGAAGTTTGCGTGACCGCTAGATTCTATCGTGCCATTGACCCCCTCGAAGGGGAGCCTTCGCGGACCCTCTACTTCCCTCACGTCACCCCACTACAGTCATTAAAATAAGTTATGATGACGCCATAGCCACCATTCTTCTTTTGCCACATTTGTTCCCACAGTTTATTACTCCTTGAAGGCTGGTCGCAAGTTAGTAGCCGTGGCACACCCTTTGAAAGTCCCGACACTGCAGTCTCGTTTCTTATTCGAAAGTAATCCTACATGCGGACCGTGCGGAAGGGTGTCACCGTTCTGTGTGCTGGTGTGGTCTAGAGCTGCACACGCTAGGTGGTGATAGTTGCACCCGGCGGCTTCTCGTTTTTGGAGTTCTCTCAAACCGAAAATGGTTGATAATGAGGGGCTTGTAATTAATTATCTGTTGCATGCTGCAGCAATCGATGTGTCATGACTGAAAGGCTCCCAGCAGCACATTGCAGCAGAAAAACACGAAGCCAAAGTTTTTTGTCAGTACCCTTTTAAGGAGGTTAGAGGGGTTACAACGTCAGTTTCAGTTGGTTTCAAACACTCGTGCAGCCTTGTCACCCTTCTCCCTCACAGAGCGGGGAAGGCGTAGCCCATCGCCGTGACTGGTTTAGACCAACGGACGAGCTGCGTGCTACGTCACGTCGCCAATCGGTCACTTAGCGTCACTTCGTGTGAAAGGAGGATTGGTCAGGCATAGGAAAGGAGCGCCGTAATCGTTTTTCGAAATGGAGGCTCTGCTTGAAGTGCAATGCTGTAATATTCGGGAAACGTGATCGCTGTGATCTACTCTATGAATTGCCGAGGTTCTTTGGTGGGTGTAAAAAAAAAATCTGAGCCTACTGACTGATCCTTTAAAATCAAAATAAAACATGTTATTGGTACAATTGTGGTTTTGGGTACCGCATTATTAGCAGCCTCAGGTATATTTGTACAAGCCAGCATAATTCAGTGACCAGCTTACCTAACCACAGTGGCATCCTTGTACTCGGGAAGCTGCTTCAACAGGAAACACGCAAGTGCATCGTCGCAGTGAAAATTACCACTGTGCGTTCCAATGGTCTTGCCCATGGCTGCTGGTTTCTTTGTGGGAGGCTCCCCTGACATCAATGACACCGGCCTGCACGAGGTCAAGTACCCGGGGAGTTAGAGAGGGCAGAAAGGAAAATCTGTGAGTGCCTGCTACATCATTTCTGTGAACCCTAACAGAGCTTCCGGAACTGTGAAACTTAACGCGGATAATAAATGGGAAGACAAACACTACCACTGACTCTAGAGTAGAATTTTCATTGAATAGTAAGAACACATTGATACTGAGTGACATTAACATCATCACAAGAGCGAAAGACCGTAATTCACATGACTATCAAAGCCTACCGCATTAAAAAACACAGGACCAATGAACTAGCCATTCATCAAATGCAGTCGCTACGGAAAAAATAAAACAGAGTATTTTGATATGCAGCTATCATTTACATTATAAATGCAGTGGAAGGTGGCACCAGCCGAAAGGGATTGCTCTGCTCATCACACAATTTTGCACATCTCATGCCTTCACTGTTCTAATTTCTACCTAATATGATTGCTAACTTTCAATAAACACTTTAGCACAGTGTCACCCCCAGTAATTTACTTTTTGTTCACCCCCCTCGTATATTCTTTTGCTGCTCATTTTTGCATCACGTGCCCGAACAAGCTCGGCAAATGTTAGCACTTGTGCCATTTTTTTCTAATGCGTGGCATGTATAAAATTACTGAAACTGATTAGCTATTCGCACGCCAACAAGCAGCTCTCGCCAAAGGATGTTATAAGTGAGTTTTTATGCAAATGCGTGGCTTCTAGCCCCTGCATATAATGATGGTACGAGGAAAACATTGCATGCATGTATTAGTGCAAAATTAATGGAAGGCATCTACTATGTCACAATGAGATTGTGGTTTTAGCAGGCAAAACCTCAGATTTTGTTTCCATAATTACTGTAATTTACTGTATCTTACTGTTATTTCTAGTTCAGAGGGCTCGGTAGTATGTTTAGTTGTCCGGATAACCTGTTCGACTAGCTAACAGTGATTCCGATAGTCGCCGCGTACACCTGCAAGGCCAGATTATCAAGTTAGATGTGTGTTTGCGTCTCTGTTTCATATCCTGCAGTTTGGCGTAATTCTTAATCGCATAAACTACCAACACGCACAGTTTACTAACATATTCGAGGCTAAATAATAACAAGCAGCGCAATGCATCTGCTAATTGTATCAGTGTGTGACTTTGTCACATTCATGTTTCGAAGTGTCGTATACTTGTTGTGGCATAACAGCTTACCCGACCTGAAGAACGGGTTTAGATACTTTGGATGACTTCAGGTGAACAAAATAGTAGTCACGTATCGCCAGTTTTTATCAACGCGGCAAACGTAAAATTAAGATTGCGTCAGCACCTAACAAGAGGGTGGCAACTTTTGCCATATCTTCCTTACACTGTCTCTGCAAAAGGCATGAAAATAATAAAAGATTGTTCGCGCCTGCCAGGTAGTTTACAAGGTAGTTTACTGCCAAGGTAGTTTACAAGGCAAGAAAACAAGGCGTGCTGAATCGCCCAAGTTTCGGGTTACAGCAAAACACGCATAGTGACAACTTACTTAGCAATGCTCGTTTGACACTGGGAGGGCTCTTACAACAAATTTGATCCTGAACGCCCATGCAGACGGGACCACGGACCCAAATATTCAACCAAGCCGGACTTCTAACAACGTACTCACCGAACGAGCGTGCAAGATGTTTCAACTCGCAGACTGCAAACAGATCGAAAAGATTTACTTACTACACGCACGACGACAATGCGACGGAACATATATATCACTGCGGAATGTTTCGGTAGCTGCTCAGAAGAGCTTTCGAGAAAACTCGGCCAACGTACCCGCCTTTCAGAATCAAACGCACACGTTTTTCGACAAACCGGCGGCTCGAATTGGCTCAAACTTCCGGGGCGGCTACGTCTTGTGATGACTATCTAGCAAGTTCCAAGTGAGATTACTGAAACGAATTGAGAACCACAAATCTTTGCTGAAGCATACGAAATGAACACTGCCCCGTAACACTAATTGAGAAAGAAGCACATAACTATTTTTGAAAGAGAAAGGCATGAACTCAAGTGCCGCAACAAAGTCGGAAAAAATACATTTACGAACGAGTGTGGCAACACTGATCTACAAACGGCTTGCTCTTTTGGCGCGCTTTGTTGCTTCTTGCGTTCGTTACTTTGTTTGCTGCCGCGCGCATTTGTCGAGCACGTTTTCGTCAGTGCAGCGGGAACGTTGTTTGCCGCAGTCGCAGGTAGCGTGAGAATCAATAGCTCATTGTTTCGAAGGGCCTCGTACGTTTCGCACCGTTGCTGTCCTCCCGTACAGTCATGGCGAAGAGAAAGGCGAATGCGACCGAGAAGCAAGGCGGCGCGGCCGAGCCGGCTGACAGCGTGCAGCCGCAGACCACTCGGCCTTCGTCTCCAGGTAAAGTGAGCACCCCTGGCAGCCGAAAGCGCTCTCAACCCGTCGTGCTGCCGCAGAAGCCCGCCTTATCGCCCCGAAGGGCAGCGGCGTTGAACGAAGGAGACGACGCTGTACGTGGAGCTGGAAGCCCCGTTCATTCACAGGCGAAAAAACCAGCGCCTGGCAGCACTGCTGCCAAACGAGTACGCGCGGCAGACAATGCTCTCGCCGAGCAGACCTCCGGAAGTCCAAGCCGTTCGAAACCAGGCGTCGAAGACGTAGCCACGGCCGAGCCGCCTGTCAAGGCGAAGCGAGGTCGTCCAGCGCGGGCTCCGACGGCTAAGAGCGTGGCCACAGCAAGCGCCCCGGGGCCCGTGCACGGAACTTCCGAGAGCCCAAGCCGTTCCCAGACAGCTGGCGTCGACAAACGCGCTGTAGCGACCGAGAAGCAACCTGCCAAGACGCGGAAGCGAGGGCGTCCACCTACTCGTCAGATCGATGAGCTACAACCTGCATCGCATAACCAACACGTCGAAGTTTCGCCGAAGGCGGCGGGCAGCAATGCCGGAAGAGCAGGCCGTTCGCCGTCGATCCCAGCCAAGCGTGGTCGGCCATCTAAAGACAAAGCCGCGATGCAGCAGCAGGTCCATCACAATTCTCCGGCTGGTCCATCAAAGGTTGGAGAGAAAGACTCTGGAAGCCAGAACTCTCCACAGCTGCCGAAGACGGCGGGCAGCAATGCCGGAAGCGCAGTCCGTTCGCCGTCGATCCCAGCCAAGCGTGGTCGGCCATCTAAAGACAAAGCCGCGATGCAGCAGCAAGTCCATCACAATTCTCCGGCTGGTCCATCAAAGGTTGGAGAGAAAGACTCTGGAAGCCAGAACTCTCCACAGCCAAAAAGGAAATCCTTAGTTGACACCAAGCAGCTCGGTGTGACTGGCAGTGCTGGCAGGAACATGGATGTCCCTGACGTGACTGCCAAGAACTCACCGAAGCCAACCAAGGCCATCAATCGAGGGCGTACATCCACTGCCATCGACACTGCCACATCAGAGTCTCAAGAGACTGAAGAACAAAGCCCATCTGCCAAGCGTGCCATGACCAGTGCATCGGCTGATGGAAAAAAGACTGGCACTGCTGCTCAAGGAGCGAAACGAGCAGGTCGTCCTGCAAAGCAACCCAACACGGCAGGTGCAGCTGATGAAAAGTCGAGGCGAGGTGCCAAAAAGTTGCCTACCACAACCCGAACCGCAGCACCTAAGAGTCCTGGTAAGCAGAACAAGAAGCTACCTGCCAGCAGCCAAATGGCGGCTTCTTCTAGTGGTGCTGGTAAGAACAAGATGGCACCGAAGGGTCGTCAGCAGCCAAAACCGAAACGAGGGAAGCGGAAGAGTGCTGATGACCTGTCGGATGTTTCAAATAGCAGCGACGTTACGCCTCCTGGTTGGGAACGGAAAACGCGGCGCAGCGGGCCATTTGACCACGTCGGCCTGTGGGTGAAGTCGCAGCTCGCGGGCGAGTTGGATAGCAGCGATGCAGGAGACATTTCGGTAGCCTCGATCGACAGCATAATTCTTCCCTCTGGCATGTTCAACAGACTGACCGGTGCTGGAGGTAGCAGTGAAGACGTTGATCCGTCCCTCTCGCCCAGAGAAGAAATCCTTTCGAGATGCGAGGCAAAGTTCGGCCGGGACACCTTGCCGCATTCCACGACGACCACTGGTGAGGCAATCGGCATGCTAGTGCACTTTGCGAGGATGCGAGGCCTTCGCTTTGGTGCACTCAGCGAGCTAGTCACAATCATCAACAAGATGTTTGCTCCTGCCAAAGATGTTCTGCCTGCTGGCAAAGCTTTAGGGATGGCACTTGCCCAGATGAATTAGGCACTCCTCCAAGTTTTAGCAGTTCCTACTTTGGTATGGTGGCTACAAGACACGGTTCACAAGATTGGTTTATCCTTACAAGGAATTACAACATTCTTTTCTTATCCCATTTTTAGAAGCCCAAGGACACAAGCATCTCAGTTGGTAATTTTATCTTGTCAAGCACTGCAAATCATAAGATATGTTTTCCTCATTGTATTTCATATTTTAGAATTTAGTAAATATAATAAAAGTTTATCTTGGAAGCCAAGTGTTTGCAGACTTTGGTGCAAGATCTTGAAGTACTGTATATACGCTAATCTTGAATCACACTGAACTGCGTGAAAATGCGAGTGCTTCAGTTTGAGCAATGTGCCCAGACGCAGGAACACACCAAACTTTTCTTGCATGTATCAGTCGTCTCATTTATTTTCTGGATTTCGGGAAAGCACTGCATAAGATTATTGAAAGATGGGTTTGCTCACGTTAAGTCACTTGGTCAAGACGAGCACACAAGTCTCTAGACTCCTCTTCGTATGGCTTAAAGTTATCACCCTTGTCAAGGCTTAGGTCAAACTATATTGATCTTGCAGTGGCTACATGCATGCACTCAGAACAAGACTTTATAAGGTAGTTCAGAATTCTGTTTTCGAAGAACTGGCGACCATCAGAAATGTGTCGAGAGGTGTTGGCCAGAATGAAAGTTAATCATATGGTACAATCAACCACACTCTTTAAATTGCGGTTTATTGTGCTGTGTAACTACTTTATATTAGAACTATTCTGTGTTGCTGCAGAAAATTGCAAAAATCACCAGGCCTGCTCAGAACATGCAGCATAGTCAGCGAAAGCTAGAACAGCGTCCTTTCCAAAACCCATTGTAGACCATTTTGGGATAAACTGACATCTCTTGGGAAGTGGAGAGGCACCCAATATGCCACTATTAGTTATTCTGCGGATGAGCGAGGTATCCACTACACAAATCTAAGGCACTTGGTGCTGTGGCTTATGGCGGTTGAGAAATATGGCCGAGTTTTAAATGCGAAGCATTTCTTGGCAAACTTCTGCGACATTGAGCGTATCTACTTTAGCGAAATTTAGCTCTCCTGGCAGTTTCGATAATATCTGTGCCAAAATTGGTATGGCATAGCATGTCTGTACGTCGAGCCAAAGTAACTAGTCATAAAATGAAAATTGTGATAATGTCACTGTAAATAAAATCAGTGCAAGTAACACTGTAGCAAACAGCTTCGATCAAGCAGCGCGAGTTCGTCGTCTTTCTGCAGACCAGATCCTTCAACACGCACAAGTAATGATGACATTAGCCACGCAACAACCAGAAACCCACTACTTGCTCGTGTCATTACTTCCCCCCTCGAAAAGCATCGACTCTATGCTTTCAGATGTAAGAAGTCAAGAGCAAGTCTTGAGCGTGAGTAATACGGCTTCATCCCAGCCACGTGAATTATGTCTGGCTGGGCACCACGGCGGGAACACCGCAAGCTGGGCTCTGCGATAACTTAGTAGTTTACATCGTTGAGGCGCTGAAGAACCGGGTAAGGGCCGAAATAATGACGCAAGAGTTTCTCAGAGCGGCCCTGTTGGTGTACAGGACTACAGAGCCATACTTTTTTCTACGGGGTGGTAGGTGACTTCTCTGCGGCAAAGGTTGTACCTATGAGCATCGTGTTGTTGCTGAGAGTGAATGCGCAAGTGAGCTAGTTGTCGAGCTTCTTCGGCGCGCTGCGCATACTGGCCAGCATTTTCGGTGGTGGTCGTAAAGGCCTCATGTCGTCTAACATCGCCAGCCTGAAGCATGGCGTCTAACATCGTGGTAACTTCACGGCCGTGAAGGAGGCGGAAAGGTGTATACCCTGTAGTTTCTTTCACGGGGGGTGTTACATGGCGAAAGTTACGAAAGGGGGACAAAGCTGACATAAACAACTACCGTCCTATAATAGTGACATCAGTGGTCTACAGGCTGGTGATGCAGATTATAAAGGAAAGACTGCAGGCATGGATAGAGGATGAGGGGGTGCTGGGGGAAATGCAGAATGGGTTTCGGAAACACAGGAGGTTGGAAGACAATCTGTTCTCACTGACGCAGTGCATCGAAATAGAAAAAAAACTCAGGCCCCTGTGGCTAGCATTTTTGGATATCAAGGGAGCATACAATAGCATGGTTCAAGAGGACTTGTGGGGAATGCTAGACACACTGGGTGTGGAAGATGGAGTCACTAATCTTTTAAAGGAAATCTATAAAAGTAACAAGGTAGTTATAAAGTTGGAAAAACAGGTATCCAAGCCCACAGAGGTGAAACGGGGACTTAGGCAGGGGTGTCCACTGTCACCCTTGTTATTCATGATGTACCTACAAGGATTAGAGGCCAAATTAGAGGGAAGTGGACTTGGCTTCAACCTCTCTTTAGTGAAACAAGGAAAACTCATTGATCAGGCACTACCAGCAATAATGTACGCAGATGATATAGTGCTAATGGCCGACAAGGAAGATTTGCAGAGATTGATTTATTCATGATGTACCTACAAGGATTAGAGGCCAAATTAGAGGGAAGTGGACTTGGCTTCAACCTCTCTTTAGTCGAACAAGGAAAACTAATTGATCAGGCACTACCAGCAATAATGTACGCAGATGATATAGTGCTAATGGCCGACAAGGAAGATTTGCAGAGATTGATGGACATCTGCGGTAATGAGGGAGATAGGTTAGATTTTAGATTCAGTAAGGAAAAATCAGCAGTCATCATTTTTAATGATAACGAAAGTAGTGAGCTTAGAATACAGCAGGTCACACTAGAGATAACAGATAAATACAAATATCTGGGCGTATGGATAAGCAATGGGATCGAGTACCTAAGGGAACACGAAATATACGTGATGACTAAAGGTAACAGAAATGCAGCTGTGATGAAAAATAGGGCACTGTGGCATTACAATAGGTATGATGTTGTGAGAGGAATATGGAAAGGGGTCATGGTTCCTGGGCTGACGTTCGGCAATGCGGTCTTGTGGATGAGATCAGAAGTTCAAGCAAGATTAGAAATTAAGCAACGAGGGATAGGTAGGCTTGCTTTAGGAGCTCACGGGAATACACCAAATCAGGGAGTACAAGGTGATATGGGATGGACATCATTTGAGGGCAGGCAAGCTAGCAGCAAGATAAAATTTGAGAAGCGATTGAGAGATATGGGAGAGGAGCGGTGGGCTAGGAAAGTTTTCAGCTACTTGTACATGAAGAATGTCGATACAAAATGGAGGAAGCGAACCAGGGAATTGACTGGTTAAGTACTTAGAAAACAGCAGGTGGCGAAACCAAAAAGAACTATCGGTTAAGATGAAAGTGAAGGAAACAGAGACTGACATGTGGAGAATGGGCATGATTAAGAAGTCCGCACTAGAGATCTATCGAACTTTTAAGCAGGAAATCGCCAAGTAAAGGATCTATGATAATACTCGGGGTAGATCTCTACTGTTTGAGGCCAGGGCGGGAGTATTGCGAACCAAGACATATCGGGCCAAATACGAAGGGGTAGATATAGTATGCATTGCGTGTGGAGAGGAAGAAGAAACCGCCAAACACTTGATAATGTTCTGTAAAGGGCTTCACCCTATAGTTCAGGATGATGGCGCAAAGTTTTTCAAAGCACTGGGGTTTAGAAACAGGGAGTGCAAAATAGACTTTAAGCGGGTAGACTTAACTAGAAGGAGGTTATCTGATTAGCTGGCTAAAGTCAAGGCACGAGTGAAAATTAATCCCTTCACTGCAAAGTACGAATCCTCAACCTCACTATTTAAAAGGGGAAAAAAAAGATACATCTAATGGTTAGTTTACTAAGTATTACGGCTAGGTGGCGTTAGCCGCCGCCCGATCTAAAGGGTACAGCCACATCCATCCACTCATCCTTGGAAATAATATAACTAGATGGCGTTAGTTGTTTTCACAGCATAACCATGGAGTGAATGATGATGAGTGGGGCGAAACATCCGTCCGTTCGAGCTTCTGTCCATCCGGACAAATGGACAGACGCTTCACCTTACTCAACATCATTCACTCTGTGAATATGCTGCGATTTTTTTTTTTCATAACAGGGCAGAAGCATTCAACAAGCCACTCGTTGCGAAAATTACATCTTGTGACGCGCAGTTGACAAGCAATCGCCAGCCCGATACATTGGCGTTACAGGGAGCGAGGGGTAGTGCTGCACACGCTTATGGGAGGAGTGACGGATGTTCTTGAAGATTTACTAACACGAGAGTGTTTTATGCCAGGGTCTACGAATACTTCAGTGACAACCCTTCGTAATTAATTGACAGTTCTCATGGCAATTCTCATAGTGCGATGCCCGGTTGCGATTTTACGCTTTGGCAACGCAATATTATAATGTGAGGAAGATAGACTTAGAAAAAAAAATCACGGAATATGGACGAAGTGAATGATGGTGAGTGGGAAGAGCAGTGGGATCGCTCAGTGTTACCGTAAATCACCCGTGCCATTGACCACTCACACATGTAAATGACAGCCCTGTGGTGTAACTGGCACGGCTGATAAAAAACGTTTTTTTTTTTTATCTAGCGGCCGTGCGTGTAACTGGTATGTTGTGTTGAATTGTGAATTTCGGATCGTCTTGCCTTCATTATTATACTGCCTTGAGGTATCGTATCTAGGCTAAAGTTTGCAAAGACGAGGTGTGAAGAACGTTCCCCTGGTGGGTGTAAGTTGTTTCCAGTGTAGCGAAGCCTTAACACCAGTCATACTAAATGCATCAGTAGAGCATTCTAGACCTCAGTATACTGGACAAGCCAGCCATCATTATCATCACGGCTACGGCGCACGCCAATGGACAAGCTTCAGATTTTCGCAACGTCTATATGTTGCACTGGCGTGCTACTCTCTGTGGGGATCAGAAATGAGATCAAGAGATTCCACAAGGGAGCGAAGAAAAGAACAATTGAAACTAAAGGTATAAACAAACATGAAATATGTGCAAGTGAACCCGGTAAAA